GAGGAGGAGGAGGAGGAGGAGGAAGAGGAGGAGGAGGAGGAAAAGAGGAAAGGGAGGAGGAGGAGGGAAAGAGGAGGAGGAGGAGGGGGAGTAGGAGAGTAGGAGGAGGAGAAGAGGAGAGAGGAAGAGGAGAAAAGGAGGGATGAGGGAAGAATAAAAAAGGTACATGTAACAATTAAGCTCAATAACAACCAAAATTCATGTAAATTCAAACAACTGTTGTTGATGCCGTCAGATTACGTCTGTGTTATTTATTAGACAACAAATACGAATATTTCAGAGATACATGTGTATGTGACATCCCTTAACAATAACACAATACATCTCTGTGCTGGCTCTGATCTCTCTACTGGTGAGTGATGGGCAAGCTTTCTTGTCTCACAGGCCGACTCTCAGAAAAGGACAACGACCCTGAAAACACATACGAGTACATTAATTATATACTATACATATACTATTGTATTATTATTATGACAGCAAAGATGTAATCAGATGAATTATGATAAGTCAATTTTTTATTTGATAATAATCATTATGATCATACGTGTAATACTGAGGGTGCGGCGGCGGAGCTGTTAGTGCGCTCGTCTCCGAAGCGGAAAGTCCGGGTTCGAGCCTCGATTCGCACACTGAGTTTTTTCTCCCCCTCCTGCCCACCCATTGTAATGGGTACCTGACTTCGTGAGTTGGGGAAGTAAAGGCGGTGTGGAAAGGAACTGGCCACCCTACTACAATATGCCGAAGGCCCAGGAAATTGTCTCACTAACAAGACAATCCCCAATGTCCGGATCGGGTGCGGGAACAATTATATAATAATAACAAAAATCATCATCATCATCATCATCATCATCATCATCATCATCATCATCATCATCATCATCATCTCATCTAGGGAATGCTTAGTTTATCTTTGTAGCCTTCTTGGGCACCTTTATTAATTACATGTATTCTATTCTATTCACGAAAGATATTTTTCAACATTCTAAGAAGAATCTATAAAAAGCAAATTGAATGCAGTTGACTGACATTCTGCGCTCGTCAGTTATTCGGGGACCGGCGTCTGTTGTTTAGAGGTTAGACACGTTACTGTCACATGCAGGAGAACTGAGTTTGATCCCCGCGTAGGGAGAAAATTTCCATCGAGTGTCTCGGTCTTTTTGCTATGATAATAATGTATCTCCCC